GCAGTGCCCCATATTCAGCTCCATTAACTCCAACTAGCTTTACTGTCTGACCAACAAACAAATAGCAAAAAAACACTTTCCCATCCCATGCTAGGTTCACATTTTCATAAATGTGTTCAGTTACTGTAGATTGTTTTTGCCACAAATAGCTCTATATGCACACTAGTTGGTCCTATCAGAGCAGAGCCCCTTACTCTACAAACTTTTGTGTTCAAAGTGGACTTCATATAGCTTCCTTGACAACCATTTTTTTTATTACTAATCCTTGAAGGCCAGATTTGTGGAGTGTATTCTTGAATAGTCATCAGAGTGCCACTTAATTTGTGCCACTTTAGAGCTTTTTTCAGATTTCTCACATAAGGTTGGGCTACTTATCTGGTTTAAATTCTCCACAATATCCTTGAGCCCTGAATAACATTTATTTTACCATTTCATTTAATATTTTAACATTTTATTTAGGGGAATTTGAATTAATTAAGCCAAATTCAAATCATTTCCACAACTTTTGGTTTGTTATTTGTATTATTTATAAGGTTTAAATATCATTATGCATTTGGCAGACACTCTCCTCACAAACCAAGATCACTAGTCAGGCAGTGTCAAAGGTGATATTGTAGAAAACTTTGTATGCACACAAGAGGAGCACACACAGATAGGAGATGCTCTCTTAAAGGAGGGCTGTTCAACATGTGCTTGAAGATGAAGAGAAGATGGAAGATAGAATACTTCTGCAAGGCACTGTATGGCAAACATCTTGTTACCACAATGACATCATTTTCTCTCATTCTTGCTCTACACTTTACTCATACTATATACTGTAGCATATTAAAGTTATGATGTGTTTTTAGTCACTACAAAAAGCCTTCAGCAAAACACATCATCGATAGAGCAATTTGGTAAAGACAGAGAGAGGAATCAGAGTGCTCTCTCCTCCGTGGTGCAGCTCTCTATCCGATTGCTCTGCTTGCCTGAAAGCTTTCTGCTTCCTGATTATGCAACATCAAGATACACGAGTCACCTCAATCAATGCATCATGCTTACAGCATTATAACTGTGTACACACCGGTCTGTGCTATGCAGAATGTCAGTGTCACCAGAGCCACCAAAGCACAATAACAGAAGCTGTGCTCAGGTTGCCATTTCAGATATATAAAACAGTTTTATTGTACAGAAAAGGACATAAATAAGCCCAAGATTCAGTTAAGTTTGCTATTTACTGCAACAAATAAGTGAAATATGATGTAATAAAAGGAGTCATAACTGCAAAATTCTCAGAGCTAAGCCAGTTTCAGGTTATTAATCTGTAAAGCTGGATTCAAAAGGAGGTACTGTTGGTTATTTATAGATTTCTGGCTGTCAATCCAGAATATTTATAAATTCAGGGAATCAGAAAGAATTATTTTCTTTTATGCACAATTTTTTGTTTAGAAGTTGTAACGGACGGCGGACATTGATTGTGCTCAACAATGAGATCACAGATTCCCTTAAAAACGGCAAGAGTGGCAGCGCCTTGGAAGGCAGCAAGGCCTCCAACATCGTTCCCTTGGACGGGTTGTACCGAAATTGAAACTTCCCCCACTTTTTCGAGTTGTGGTTTTGCAACAAGGTGTCTAAAGGCTTCATTTTTAACTAATTACATTCTCCTTTAGATGTTGACAGAAAGTTGGTTCATATCTCTGAGTTTAAGAGCTTTTTTATGTCTGAATGATTTATAGGGAAGGAAATCAACAAACAAAACAAGCCCATATAATAGCTCAGCAATGGACAGAAAACAGCAGCTAAAGCCAACGTAAAAACTTTGAAACACCTTCAGGAAACCCAACTAGTATCGCAAAAGCTAATTAAAAGTGAACTTTTGAGAAAAATGTGAAGCTCAAAGCACCAGTAGATGTTCTGATCTCATTGGTTTATTCATTTTTCATCTTTTATTAAGTTTATTACTGTAAACATCCCTCTGCTTGTCTAATGTATTCATGATTGTCCCCAGGCATGTTTATCTGACAATGCAATAAAGTATATTTTGAAACACAGGGATCAGATTAAAAATAACATTTTTATCCTCCAAACTGTGTGATGACAAAATAAACCTCAGACTTTACCCTACCTCCTTTGTCACTGTTTTTATTTATTGGTATGATCGTCGATGGGAGCAAATTGAGGTGAGAAATAATTTTTGTATCACTTTTCCAGACTTTTAAACAACACATCATTTTCTTTTGTTAACAGTTTTGAATGATTGCTAAGTCAGATCAGGTTTATACCTCAGGAAAACAACATCATGAGTTACAAATCAATATTTTCTAAACGTTCTTATCAAAACAATAAATCCTTTGCCTGGCACATTTTATTTATAAGAAGTTTCTGAGATTTTGTAAGTGCAATAAAAGACACATTTCTATTAAGGTTTTTTACACAACCTTACCAGAAATGCCAATAAACATGTACCTCCAAGTAAGACAGGTTTTATCTTGATTGCAAATTTCATTATAGGCTAAATAGAAAACAAAGAATTGTCATAAAAAACAAATATGTTCCTTTTTTATGACTAGCAAAGAAATGAATGAAAAACAAAAAGCTAAGTGATCTGGAAAAAAAATAAACACTTATTTGAAGGGCATACACTTCTGTATGAAAGACATTCAGAGGAGCAATATTCTCCATTTTATAACTTATCGACTACTGCAGGTCTGATTGCGGGTGCTACCGGACCCACCTTTGCGTCATCATAAACTGAAGATACGTCTCGAACCGGCTGAATTGTTTGCAGTTGAGAGTGTCAACTTATGCCGGTCGCGCCTGGCGAGTCCATTACTTTGATTGCCGTTTGACAATCTGTCTTTATGACAGGCGGCTATGGAGCTTTGGCATCAATGGGAGAGGAACATCGATCCATCCCCTTGTGACCTCCAGCTGCTTTCAAATCTAGACTTGCACACAGATGGACATGTTGAGTGCTCTTTGACAGAATCGGCTATTGATTGTGTGGAAGTTAATGGCAGAGTCATATTTTTCTATGTGCATCTGACTCAACCCACCTGTCCCTCTTTCTTCCCTGTTATCCGTTGTTGTAAATCATTAACCTGACAGGAGATTCCTCTTATGTTTATTTAGAATGAGCTGCCAAGATCAGCAACCTTCATATTCATCTTTTTTTTTTTACCAATGTTTCTGAAACTCAATTTTGATCTGATCATTCTAAATATTTTCTTCCATTAAGGACAAAGGTTAAAATGTTCTGTTGAGTTGCTAAGTTCACTGACCCAAAGCAATGCATACTATTGATATGCGAAAAAAATACTTTCTTTTTTTTACAAAGACAAATGTTTTGGGTATTTGTTTTTACTCGTTAACACTTTATAACACCAGCTTTTGCTGCCACCTTTTTTTTACATAAAACACCACAGAGTGAGATATGAATAGAGTCTCTATAACATAGAGGGATTACAGTCCAGACTTGGACTAGGACAATCTGGCACATGAATATCCAATGAAATAAGTCATTCCATTGTTGCTCTGTTGATGTGTTTAGAGTGATTGTCTGGATGAAAGGTGGAGCTCAGCACTAAACTTATTGTTCACACTGAACCGTTTCCCAGCCCACCATAAGGATGGTATAGTTTTTAGTTTCCTTTCATGTATGCAGACAGGTTTCATTTTGGTCTCCTCTAATCAGACTAATCTTCTCAACAATTCTGATTATTTCTTCTTGCCTTATGGTAAACTGAAAACTTTTTTTTATCTTGCAAGTTTTCCAAAAAGTAAAAAAATTTAATAAAATTTTTACAGCTAATAGTTTTTCCAGACATTTCTCTCACCTTAGATGTTTCTCTGTGCAGCTCCTTCAGTTTCCATTGACTTAAGCCTGGGACTTTTTTTTATGTCAGCTACTCTGCTTTCTCTTTGACCTACATTATCTGATGTGCTCTCCTGTTTATGGTGCTGGTTGCTTTTTAATATTAACATCTGCAGTGTTCACAATACAGCTGGCTTTATACTGAGATAGATAGTTAGGTTCCGCCTGAAATGTTTGGACTGATCTTATTTAGGGATATCAGTGCAAATATTTCCAAACACAGGTACTTTATACTGTACATATAGGTTAAAAAATATGTGTCATTACAACTGAGTTTGACTTTGTTTTAGTATATCAAATAAAATTCTATAAAACTTTATTGTAGTTTTATATGAAAAGAACAAGAATAGTATGTCTAGTATAGTATGTCTAATCTATGCATAAAAAAACAAAAACACAAACACCTGCTGATCGCACAGACAAAAGAATCAGTCTGATAAGGTGACTTTTAAATTATTTTTTTATTTTGTCGTGCTTTGTTTCTTTCCCCTATAAAGAAATAGTTAGCTATATATATCAACAGTGACACATGGACTCTAAAATAAACAAGTGTGAAAGACAGGAGAAGAGACAACTAGGCACAGGAGACAAAGAGAGAGAAATACTGGGAGAGAGGAAGAGGAAAAAGAGTGAAAAATGACAGCAAGTTTATTTTTTTCTAAAGTAAAACCAAAAACAAACCATGAAAAGTGTACATTTCTTTAACATTTACAATTATAATAATAACAACGGCAATAATAATAACAGTAACAACAATCAGAATTGTTCAAATAATAACAATATTTAAAAAAAAATCAATAAGACCTCTTTTCTCATAAAGACAACTTTTTTTTTCCTTTTTATATTTTCTTTAAAGATCACTGGACAGTAGTTTGTTCGGCGTTGCGCCTCTAAAGGCTAATATTCTGTGTTAGTATAGTTGCTTCTTAATGCGTTTTCAATAGTAAACAGTTTTCTTAATTCTTAAAAGTTTAATTTAACTCATGTCACTGTTTTTTTTATACAAAGAATTCAGAGATATGTATACTTGTTCTGTAGACGTGTGTACTGTATGTATGAATGTGTTCATGTAGCTGCAGACGCCCGTTTTGTTCTCTCGTTCGCTCCTTTTTGCTAGCTCTCCTGTTCTTCTTATTGGGACTTTTTCAACCTTTTTCATCCTCTTAATGGCATTCTAAAACAATTAAGCTTCTCTTTAATTCCTCTGCAAGTCATATTCCTTTCTTCGTTCTTGGGAACGCAGCCTAACGCTAATCCTTTCATTATTACTGGGCCAACAACATGGGAACTATAGAAGGGGGGAAACACTGAGAGGAGCGTAAGAGAGAGAAAGAATGGTAACAGGGTAAAGGAGAGAATGTAAAGACCAGATAGAAAGAACCACGTTTCTTTATTTCATTCGTGTACTAAAAGGTAGGGGGGGTAACAGGCTGAGTATTTTTACATGTATCTGGAACTCCTATTAGAGCAAAAAGCAAAACATTCTGAAAAGACATTCAGCTTATTGCTAAAGTCTGGATACTTCCTGTGGCTTTGGTAGGGAATTACAACAAACTGTGCTCCGTCAATGAGATGCGACTGTGATTTCAAAAGATCTCTGTAATTTACCATCAAGCTCAAAGTAGTTTCTACTCAAGTCTCCTCTCTCCCACCTCCTCCCCCTCCCTCCCTGTCCAGCTCTCCTGCAGTCTCCTTCAGTTAGAGATTGAGCTTCGTAAAATAGATTCTTCTATTCTCCAGGCGGTGAATTACAGCAGTCATCTGCCTCTAATTCCCCTTCCACTTTGGAGGCTGCACAGGCGAGGCAGAGAGGGGCCACTTTTCATTGTGTGGCCCTCGTCCTTCTCGATCTAAATAATTACAGGATCATTTCGCTTTTGCCTACATTCACTTCACTCTGTCGCCGCTTTCTCGCTCGCTCCAGCGTTCCGGGACTTACAGTACTGTATATGGCACAGTCGTTGATGTCTGGTGGGGCCGAGAGGCTCCCCATCTCTCGGCCTGTCTAGTGGGTTATACAAGTGTATATGGAGGAGATGGAGTGGAATGGAGTGTGATGGATTGGCTATGTGCAGTACAGTCGCTTTCAGAAGGCTGCCTGTTATGGCGAATTGTATCGGAGGGTGTGTGTGTGTGTGTGTGGGTGAGTATGTATGTGTGCGTGTATATATATTTATATATATACTGTATATAAGGTTGGAGGCAGAGGGAGGGAAGGGTAGGGGTATGAGGTCAGAAGAGAAGGGATTAACAAAAAGAAGGGCTACAGTAGGTACTCCTTCTTGCCCTGGCTGGCATCGTTCCCATTGAGGAAGGCCTCCTGCACCTCGCCGTGTTCGTCCAAACCGCTGGCCTCATGGGTGAGATAGGAACCTGGATGGAAGGTGCCAGAAAGAAAGCCAGAGAACATAGAAAGAGAGAAGGAGATTTTAGGGGAGCGGTTAGGTGGAAAAGCGTCATGATCATTGCAGCGCTATGCAGCATTTCACACCAATCAGCACTTATATTACTGTGTTCCATACCTACAACTGATTATTTAATTAGTTGACTGATTGTTAGGTCAATACCAGGCAAGGATAGGCTCTCGTGTACGGTATGAGCCTACAGGGCAGAAAATTAGAGGTGGCGGATGGATGCATGGAGTCAAAGGAGGTGAAGGTAACAGAAAAAAAGAGAGAAAAATAGCAATAGAGAATAAAAGACAGAGCAAGAAAAGAGAAATTGGTAGAAAAGGGTGGACGTAATGTTAGAGAAGAAGAAATAGCATCACACAAAAACAACTAAAATGAATTTTAACAACCATAATTACTGGGGTTTGTTTGTTTTTTTTCTCTTCCACAACATGTTAAATCCAGGTTTAGGCCTTGTTTGTATTTTAACATCGATTTTTGCTAAACAGGTATTTTCTGCTGTGGTTGCATCTCCTGTCTAAAAAAAAAAAGTTAATAAGGTAAATGTTCAGATATATAAAAACATTTTCCAAACTGGGTATTATAAAAGGCCTGTATAAGCCTGGACTGAACTCATTCACTTGCATCCATATGGATTAAATTGCTTCAAAACATTCAAACACTGGAGTAAAAACCATAGTTTGGGGATTTAAGGTCTTATTTTAAGCCAAACCTTCTTAAATATGTATTTTTCTTTTAGGGACAGAGCAGCAAGTTGCAAATACCTAAGAAAAAATACCAAGACATTTTTTTTTCAAATTTCCCTAAGGAAACTTTAAAAAGCCTGTTATGGGAGAACTACATAAACTGTTCAAAGTGTTAAGATGCTCTGCTTCTTTAGCCAGAACTGCAGCACATAAAATGAACACAGTAAAAAAAAAAGGGACAAAGACGGAAACTTGATTCCCAGAGATTTTTATGAGATTACCTATATGCAATTTGGAATGTTCCTGAGTTTAACTGTACACCACAAACAAACCTGTATATAAACTCAAACATAAGGCAATGATGACGAAAGCCAGTGCCAGCATGTCTCGTTTGAAACAAAAGGAAAATCAAACTTTAATAACAGCTATTCAAGCAGTTAAGGGAGCGCTAAGATGCTTTTGAGACAAAAGAAATCTCACATTGTAATATACAGTAAAAAATGGCATAGAAACATTCTAATAACAATGCATAGGCCCTGTTTATCTCTGGCGATCTACAAACAGTTTATACTGTTTATCTACAAAAATGTTTGTCTTATTGGCTGTCCCATCTGATGTGGAAATGCTCTTTAAAAATCAGTCTTTGATTGGTGATCAGATCTGGGGTCCCTCTATGCTTGGCCCTTCGTATGACTAAGGACAGATCTTTGAAACAAAGCTCATCAAATCAAATCAATCCAACCAAATTTGAAATCATCCCAATCACCATCTTTAAATTTTTTTTTGAGCAATCCTGTGTCAACATAGCTGATAGAATGGAAAGTAACAACCACACCATCATGACACAAAGTCAGGTTCACTGAGACAAAACAACCAGATCCAGACTGCAGTAATTAACTGCATTCTTCTGGTAGGGCATAGTTAAAAATGTATAAATTAATAATTTTTTGTGTTTTGCTTTTGTTTACCATTTAAAATTACCTTTAGAGGCTTATAACTCATTTCAAGAGAGAGATCCCACACTTTAAGGCAGAGTCTTTAAGGCAAGTCTTTAACTTTAAGGCAACTTTAATTCTTAGATACATAATCTCTTTCTTTGTTGACTCAACATTAGGGATTAGTGTGTTTACTTTTCAGTTAACACTGGATTCTATTAGTTGAAAGCTCCAATAATCATTAAATTTTATTCAAGAGTTAATATTGTTGATTTTTAAAGAAATTATTTATTTTTCCAAATACAAAACCTCTCAACTGGACATCAGCCAAGGGATGTTTCAGCAGTAGGAGCTATGCTAGAAAAGAGAAAAAAACTTATGAAGTGTTATAAACCTCTCATGTTTTTATGAGCACTTTTGAAAAGAAAGAAGTCGGACACTTTTAGAGCATGATGTTTTTTTTTTACCCTGCTGGGATCCCCTAGATGGCTTCTTTGGTTCACCATTGCTGAAGTAGTTAAAATATTTTAATTACTTTTTTTAAACTAAACAGTTTCTATGATTTCTATGTCTTCGAACAATTTAAAAAAGCCAGGATAATGTCATTTCCTTAGTTGAATTCTGATTTTTTTTTTTGTAATAGATTCGAGGTGATGTAGGTACCACAGTGTTTTTTTTTTCTTCTTTTTTTGAAAACGTTAACACCCTTCTTCCTTCTGTGGCATCATAGTAAAATCTCAAGAAATGATGCAAAATATCAGGAAGAGAATAGCAGACCTTCAAAATCTGGTTTATATCTGGCTACAAACCAGATCTATAAATATGCAGTTTATCTGCTTAATGCATTATACCTATATTGTTAAGGATGGCCCTGGTGGAATAAAAGTATATCAACTCTTGAACAAGAGTAACTGACCTCTAGAAGAAGTTGGCTAAAGCTGGTAAAAGGCTGTCATTATCCACAGTGAACAAGTCTTATTGGGTTGAAAAGCTACTTGGAGAGGAAGAACTCCTTACTCCAAAAGTAACAAAAAGTCTGGTTACGGTTTGTGAATGCCCTTACAAATGAACAAAATATTGAGGCACAACCTCAGGATATTTCCTGGGAAGTTAGAGCTTGGTTGTAAATGAGTCTCCCATGACCATAAAAATACAAAAAATTACTTACAGTTGTTTAAGGGCGACAAAGATGTTTTAGAGAGGCTATCACAAAGCTCTGATCTTAGTTCCTTAGAAAATATTTGAGAAAAGCTGAAGAGGTGTTAATGTTTAAGGAGGCCTGAAATCCTGTTCTGGACAATTGGCCAAAATCATCCTACATTACTGTACCTCAGCATCTGGTTTCAACCCAGCCGTTCCATGCAAGTTATGGGACTAGTTTTTGCGAGTTGATTGAGGACCTGTTTTTTTAAAGAAGCTTGTGAAACACAGGAGGATTACCAGCTGAAGGCGTCTCTGGTTGAAGTGTCCTTTCAGTTAGTGACTGACGCTCTCTTTCGCCTTATGTGTGAGTTTGATTGGCATGGTGACAGTCACAAAGGACTAATGACAACGCCCTAATAGCCCTTGTCTCAACGCTAAGTGGTTAAAACAGTCCTGTCTCTATGCTGATTGGCAGTCAAGTCACAGTGAATGTTGATGGACAGCTTGTCTAACCATTGGGTGAGTTATCCTGGTTGAAGCCAGCCCCACTTATCCTAAACAATTTATTGGTGGCTGCAGAGCAAAATGTAACACTTCCAGAGAGGGGCACTTAAAATGATAGGAAACAGAGGGAGGCTTCTTTTGATTCTTCATACACTAACAGTCATAAAACATTCTGGCAACGCCTGCCTTTCCAACCCCACCCTTTCTCTTTGGCGGCTTAGGCCAAGATAGTTTATTATGGACAGCACTTTGCCAGAGAGGAGCATCAAATCTATCCTGGTTTCTGCTGACAATTTCACACCTAAGTTTAAATGAATCTAAACGTATCTAGCATCCAATGACCTTTGCAGAGAGACATTACCAGACACTGAAACTCTAAAGAGGCCCGGCAGTGACAAAAGAAACCTGGTTAAAAAAATCACATCTTTTCAAATTTGCTTTGAGTATTTATGCTTTACCTTTCTGCCGGACAGAACACCAGATGGTGACAATGAGGACACAGATGACAGTGAAAACCAGCAGGGCCAGAACGCCTCCTATCACTGCATAAGGGACTGCGCTGTGAGTCTCAACCACTGCGCCGGGGTCTGAGAAAGAACAAAGCAAATACAAAACTGTGTTCATCATTTGAGCACTGGCTATTAAATTGGAAGACTAAAGATAAATGAAAAAAAAGAAAAGGACCAAAGACAGTAAGACAAAGAAATAGGATCAACAGGAAAAGAAGGTTAAAGGGAAGGACAAAGTAGAACGTTTAAAACAGTAGCAACAGAGAGGGAACCAGGAGCAAATAGTGAGAAGAGAGAATTTGATATCTCCCCACAACCTGCATTATCACCCTTCATCACCCCCCACTGAACAGAACGCCAGACAATCTGAATGAGTGAGAAAAAGGAGAAATGAGAAGAGTGAATAAAGAAATTGGAGAGCCAGCCTCTACAAAGGCACCTCTTCTAAGCACCTGTCAGGAGCACAATACATTTTGAATGATAGAAACTTTAAGTGTGTTTCAAACCCACGTAGTGCGACCTTCAAAAAAACTTCAACCCAGAATGAGTGAAATAAAAAGGGTTTAAAAACCTAAGTTAAACTCAAATATTCTTTCAGCTACTTTCCCCCCATTTTTTTTGACTCTAGGGGCTTTTTTTGATGTCAATGGTTACCAGGCAGGAAAAGGGTGAAGAAAGAAGGAGGGTGAAAAGCAGCAAAGATCTCCGGATGGGAACTTAAAACAAGGATGGCAAGTCAAAGACCAAGGCCTCCTCATATGGATCACTTGCCCAACCTCTTTCTTTCCTTTATTTAAACTGAAAATATAAGCATGTTGCACTTAAAGCCAAGTCATACATTAAAATGACTTTAACATGGAGAACAGAAGCTGATTAATGTTTTCAGCAGGTTGCAGTGCATATAAAGGGGGGTTTAATTTGTTTTTCCTAGTATACAGTTGTGTAGTTCTCAGTTACAAGATCCAGATATGGAGCTTAAATTCTCACTAAGCCTATTTCTATTGTCAATTAATATTTGGGTCCTGACTGATCATCTTTTTTTTTTATGTCATGCTTAGATGTTTATATTTAACAAATATTATAAATATTTATAAAAGTACTTGGAAAAAAAGTATTTCTCAAAAAATGTCATTAATTAAAGGGAAACATATGTATTTCCGCTACCAGACACATTTTTTAATTGTCCCTTATAACCTTAGTTGCATTTAAGTAAAGACTTTGACTAGTAAACTAAAAAAGTATTTTATATGAATTCAGAGGTGGAGCTCCTTTGACCTTTATTATTGTTCTGCTGCGTAACCTGGGCTTAACTATACAGTCATATTCCAAGGGCTGAACTTTTTTCAGTATCCTGCATACATTGAACCGTAAGCAATGTATTCATACTTTTCTATATTTCCAGTATTAGTTGGTCAGATAACAGAAAATATAAGAGGGGTCTACTTTTGCATTTTAAAATTCCAGTGGAAGCCATTCTTGCCCGGTCTGACCTTGGAGAAAGAGAAGCCAACAGGGATTTATATGTTGTCTTGGGTTTTATTTTGACCTCCTGCTATAGAGTGGTTGGACTGCCCCTGCCCCCTGGCAGAGTAGCAGTTTATAGCATAAGCTAATTTGCAACTGCAGTCCCTTTAGACACACTTCATGATTTGTATGATTTATTAACAGCAGAGGTCAGGCAGTAATCTGGTCTGGTTGTGTTTGGTGAAACTAAATAAAATCATGTGGTTGATCATTGTTAAGTATTTTTAATTGTCCTTTTTCCCTTAATAACAACATCATAATTTAGGATAAGCTTATTGTTTTGACTGTATTATCTTTAGGTACAGGTTCCTCTATGTCTAATCGATTTGTGTACATGTAAAAATCACACTAAATCAAAAATAAGAGTTAATTCAAATCTGACTATTTTTTTATTTACTAGAACAATATATGTATTTTAAGTGGTTTACGTTTCATCTTTAATGCCTTTATGATGTTATCCCCACCATTCCATATATATAACAATCCATAAAGATGGTAGGAGGGTTTCATTAAATTCCTTAAACATTTTAACCCAAACCAGTGTTCAGTTTTTCTTATCTATTTTTTAACACACTGTTTTCAGTCAGAAACAAAAAAAGCTGAATTAAGAGAGTAATCTAGAGACCTGAGCATGCCACAGCAAAAACCAGAATCTTTAATCTCTTTTCTCATTTCCTGTAACTTTTTCAGCTTTGCCAGTGTTAAACTCCACTTTGCGATGGTTTTGATCAATTATGACACCATGGTTAACCTTATAGCATGGGAAGAGTCCATTTCAGTCATGTCTGAGGAAAAGATAACAGGTAGGAACTAGCAGTTAATGGGCTGTAGCATTTAATTAGCCTTCTGAAGGAAAGTCGAGCCTCGAGATATTGGGATGATCAGGACTCATTAGCCGATTAAGAAATCTCTAAAGCTTAAGTTTGTATGATATACCTATTTTGACTCAATAACAGCTATTTTTTGACAGCAACAAAAGTACACAAACACAAAAGAAGCAGATGTTTAAGATTCTATTTGTATTGAAAAATACATGCATGTTGAATTTGGATAGAGTGAATTCAAGGCTGACTATTATAAAAACTTTTTTATTTGTAGCTGGCAAGCTTAAATCAAGGCGGTTATTGATTCAGCATTCTTAGACCTCCATTGAATAGAATTAAAACTTGAATAATTAATAAGGTGCTAACATATAGATCAAGAGAAGAAGACATTGATGGAAGAGAAGTAGAAGAAAAGGGAAGAACAAAAAAAGACCTTATTCTTTTATATGTATTCCGTGGGCCCTCCTGAGGCACTGTAATAAGCTGATTAAGTGCATGAACACGTATTGACAGATGCATGTATTATCAAAATGAATGCATCTGCACTAACATGACGCATGGGATTCAAATGCATTAAGACAGAGTATTTGGCCCAAGCAATACTTCATGATAGAAAAGAAACCGAGCACTAAAGTGCACCTTGTTCCCCCTATGCCAAGTTGTTCTTAATGTGCTTCAGCCCAGAGCTCCACAGGAAATGACTGACATCATTAAACATTGTGCTGTTTCTCAGAGGAGCCCCACAGACGATGCATCAGCGTTGACTAAACATCCACCAAAGTGTTCTTTCTTTGCAGTTTTTCTTAAGACACCTTTTTTTTTTTACTCATCTCCTCACATGCCGCAGGTGAACATCCTCCACCTGCCGCAGATGATGGCAAAGGCAACAGAGAGAACAGGAGGCTTGCTCCTGCTCCCTATGCCCCATCTCTCCTTTTAAGTAACAGAACAGACAGATAAGCTGAAGGTGTGGAAAAAAGAAGGAGGAGATTACAGTGAGCATGTCTTTGTGGGAGTGCATTTATGAGATAAGTAGATCCTTTAGATGGAAAGAAATGAAAACTGGTGAAGTTACACAATCAGAATAGCAAAGTTAAAGCAGGTTTGTTTTCTTAGACCTGCTGTGTTGCAGTTTTTCCAGTAGAATGTGATCAAAAAACCCACCTGGATCCACTTTTTTTTACCCTTTCTTTTCACAGTACACTGTTATGTGTGTATATATGTGTGTGCAGGGGTGTGTCTGTTTGTGGATAAATAAGTTGCTGTATTGCTCTGGAGACCAATGTCAGTCTCTAAGCTCTTCATGCAGATTCATTATCAGTCACCAGCAAGCAGCAGAAAAACCAGGCAAACATCACAGACTTGCAAACACAAACGCTGACTATGTGATGTGTTTGTGAGGAGGGAGGAATCAGACAGTTAAGGAAAGGAGAAAAGGTGATTGCTGCGCATGGTGCATATCCAAGGTTACAAAGGCAAATATACTAATGTAAATAGAAGATGGAGGAAGGTTTCCGAATAAGAAAGCGTGTGTGTATGCATGGAGATGGAGGAAACTGTGGGGAGGCCACCTGAGAGCAGTCAAAATGATGGTGTGGAGGAAGGCACCAAAACCTGAGCAGAAGATGATAAAGAGAGAGACTGATGGTAAGAGAAGCAATAACCGGCAAGATACGGGTCACGGGAATAACAGAGGAGGCTGAAACCACAACCGCATTATCCTTCCTTTTAGTTTAACCTTTTTTATGCAATTTGTATGCAGATGACAGTGCTAGGCATGTCTCGATTATCGCTGAAAATACTTTATTAAAAAAATGGACATTGGATTTCCAAGGAGTCTATTTGGAAAAAAATGATCCTCTTTCATTCTCTCTACCATGAAGCAGTAATAGCAACAATATCCACGCTCACACATGGGCTGTTAAATGTGCCAGCAAACAAATTACACCATGAATTCAGTTAATTAGCCTTGGAGTGAGTGAATTTCAAAATTAAAAGCACAGAGCCAAGATGGTCACAGCTAACAGAATTATCTAAGCGATGAATCGGAGGAAGTAATTGTGGTTTAAAAGCCAGAACTTTTAAAATGAAATGGTCTGCAATTAAAAATCTAAATAAGTACAATTAAAAATGACTCAATATATTTTAAAGGATTTGCTGTATATGGGCTATAATAGTTTTTTTTTTTTGCTTGAGAGCTTTTTTAAAACATGTTTTTAGATGAATTCTCTAAAGTGTGGCTTTCATTTGTATTCAGCCAAAATCTTGCAGAACAAACTTTTGGTGCAATTAAGGCTAAAGGCCAGACTCTTGTTTTGTCTGCTTTCCTGATCCTGTTGAGTCACATGTTCTTCATAATGCTGTTTGGTTACGTATGCTATCTAAAAAACATCTGAGACCTTTAAAAAACACAGATCTATAATTTGACTCATATAATCTATATGATTTTTAAAGGGATTTCACAGTAAATGGAGCAGAATATAAATGCCTACCTTAAATGTCAGATTTCTACTGGTTAATTATACAAAATAAAATCAATTTCTTTCCAGTTCACAGTTACATACTACTTAGGATTCAGCAATCTCCTAAAGTTACACAAAATATTTCAAATTTGGTTGTTGTAACACAACAAAACCTACAAAAAGGTGTAAATAATTCAGAAAGGAACTGATACTTCTCCAAGTTGTTTTGATTTCTCACAGTCTGTCATAAAATAATGAGCTAAACCAGACCGTAATTTCTAAAAGCTTCAGCCTCATTGGAATCCTTTCGTCCCTCTGACCTGTTGCCAATTATTGTAATTAGCAACAAAATGCTTCACCAGATGGTTTAACATGCCTAACACTGTTTTTTAAAGACATTTTATCTTCACAGCTTTTACTCTGCTACTACCTAACACAAATTTAAATTAGCAGAATGTTTTATATGAAAAAAAAGCTTGTGTCTTGTTGTTTTAGCAAATTATGCATCATTAGTAAGCAGCTTAAAGCAGCATTATATTTGTAAATAAATGTGATCTTCTTGCAGGTTACAGTGCTCTCTTAGCATTCTTGCTTTGAGTGAAGCAGGGTTGGAGAGAAAGTGGTGTGTGTGGGTGTTTACCTTTTGGGTCCTGAGCGATTCTTTTAGGCAAAATGAGTGTGGTGGTAGGATGGGTGGTAGGTTGGGTGGTGGGAGAGGGAGGAGTAGTGGGGACCGTCGTAGTGATTGACACATTCTCTACAGACACACAGACAGGTAATGGGATGGCACACACATACAAAAAAAAAGCTATTATCTACAGCATGCAGTAAAGGGGTTTTACAGTGAGGTTAACACAGCACATAATACATGACAGGTAATTTGCTCAATGTAAATATTAAACGAGTTAATAGATGCTCTTCTGTCAGAGGACAGAAGTCTTACAGACTTCAGGGTTTGAGAGACAGACAAAACTACAGAATGAACAAGCACTGTCAGAGACATTCATTCAAAAAAGTAGATTCCCAATACCTTAACAGTGTTCATGTTTGTGACATATTGCTGTTAATTTCAAATGAAACAGTGGTAATAAGTGTGCACAACATTGAGCACCTTAGTGTTACACCTTTAGATCTATTTAGTATTCAGTTTAGGTAGGAGTCATATAAACATGCAACATGCACCATCATATTTGTCCGATCTGTTTTGATAAATTTCTTAAAATCCATCAATCTGTGAATATGTCTCTTATCCACAGCTCACCTCAGGTGATCCCACAGATATTCTGACAGATTTTAGTTCTGATCGCTGACTCTTTTCAAAGATGTGTTTTTCCTCTGAGGCCATTCATTTGGAACTACCCTTTGACTCACAGTGATGAGGGAAAATGAACTCTCTTTTAATCCACATGCTGGAATGTTTTGAGTGAAAAATAGACAGATTGTCAAACTATTAAAAAAAATACTGATATTGAGGAAATTCTAGTTCAAGCTGAACAAAAGTCAACCTCACTCCAAAGTTATGCTGTCATCTTATTTTTATATATATATATATATATATATATATATATATATATATATA